TGTTGATTACAGCCAATTATGATAATGTACTTTAAAATATAGACCACTTTTAATGGGGGCAGAGATTGAACCAGATTTCCTTTTGTATCTTTTAGATTTATTGGATTAGGAGGCCGCATTCACAACAAAGGCGTTAAAGCTTCATTTGAAAGAGTTATTAAATTAATTTAGCTCTTTCCGATAGTAACATATTTTTTATTTCCATACTGTGCGACCTACTAAATGATAAAATGTATTTTATTCTCAAAAGTAATTCAAATATTTATTGAAAAAAAACATGTTTTTTTGCATTCAATGCAATTGCAATAGTATGTAAAAACCATTAAAATCACCTCACGGCAACAGGTTCACAAGACGAACTTCTCGGGACTTGCGCAACCTTTCGAACTCGCTGGCACATGTACAACATTGTGGCATTTCCTGATCGACTTTTGAGCACCGGATAAATAGGTCGACAAAAAAGTGGAATCGCTCCCCTCACATTCGCTCTGCTGCCCTCGGCTTTCTGCAACAATGCCTCGGCAGAACGGGGGCAGGAGAGTAGCATTTGCCACAGAAGAGCAATTCCGACTGGCCAATTTGTTTTCATTAGTCCGGCCGTTTGAGATGGGATCGTGAAAGTTGAAGCAGCGCCTGGAGGGGCAGTCATGCCGGCGGGAAGGGCAGTTTTCGTCTCTGCTGTAGACAGGCCTCCACGGGGTAGGTAAGTTAAGATTAAACGAAAGCCACAAGATACGTGAAGGAACGTCGTTTCCCGCTGGACGTGAGCAGACGAGTCGAGGCTAAATGCCAAGTGGCCGCCCACACTTTTCGGCGAGCTAGAGATCCCATTTTCACAATATCCGCTAAGTGGTCGTGGGCTCATCCTTTGACGTCTGAAGGGTTTGAGGGTTTGAGTCCAACTCGACGCCATAGCACAGTGCCACCCAGAAGGACCGTTTAACAGCTCTTTGCTCACGACCCACATGCTCAATTTATCAACGACTACCTACACCCGAGGGCAATTTATTTCCTGTTGTCGGTTGAATAAAGCTCTACTAACAGTATAAATAAGTAGTAAGATGAGATTTAACAAATAAATGCTGGTTTTAACAATTAATATTGGTTATAAGTCTAAAGATAACTTCTGCTAGGCCAATCTTTCATTAAAATGATACACTATATTTTTCTGAACTGGCTTTTCGACATTTCGGCCAAGTAGAGATGGCCATAGCACAGTGCCATCCAGAAGGACTGTTTAAGAGCTCTGTTCTCACGGCCCACATGCTCAATTTATCAACGACTACCTACACCCGAGGGCTATTTATTTCCTGCTGTCGGTTGAATAAAGCTATACTAACAGTATAAATCAGTAGTAAGATGAAATTTAACAAATAAAGGCTAGTTTTAACAATTACTATTAATTATTAGTCTAAAGATGACTTCTGGTAGGTCAATCTTTCACTGAAAATGATACATTATATTTTTCTGAACTGGCTTTTCGACATTTCGGCCAGGTAGAGATGTGGGACTACTCGAGGCAATCGGTTGTGGTATATTCATTCTAGATAGAATAAAGCGGTCAAGTACAGATTTGGTCAGAATTCGTCAGTGATTCTCGCTATTCTTAACATCAAATTGCAACTGGTAAACTTGTCTCTTTGACGAGTTTAGGCTTAGTGCTGAGACCGGCAAGACTGACTAACAATACCGACTACGATGCCGGCGAAACGTCTGAGAATGTATCAAGTCCACGGCCCGTCACTTGGAAATATGATAATTACTATTGCAGAAGACTTTAGACAAGGTGCGTCCAACTAAGTCTTCGTGTCTACCTTCAAGTACAGATTGTTGAATTTATCACAAAATGATATAAAAATATGCCTCCTACAGCCAGTAAATTTCATTTAACTCTACCTCCAAGAAGGCTATCTCATCCAGGCTGCATCCCAACTGGGTCTTGTCATCAACCTCAACGGGAAATGAGGAAGCAAATCTAAGTGAAACTTAATGGGATCATAGGATTTATTCATAAAATAATTCACCGCTTTATATGACAATTCATAATTAAGACCTGTCAGTAGTGTCAAAACTTTCAACAGAAATAAAATTTAACGGATCGTCTTGAGTGGTAACATGTCACCACTCGGCAGAATTGTCAGAAAAACGATTAATAAGAATATAATCTGCGATTTTCAGCTAAATATGCGTCATTTTTAAGTCTGGATGACCAATGGTGCCTGATGGAAATCTCCGTTTTTGAAGAAAAGCATGAAAAGTCCAGCCATGCCACAGAGAATCCGTAGAATGATGGCTTCAATTCCACGTCTTCTCTTTGCCCGAGTTGATGCAACCCAAGCCCTATTGGTCACCGACTTAAACTGTCAGCAATTGTAGCCCAACTACAAACCGAAGCTGATACTAGCCGTTTCGAAGATGATTCAACTCGCTGACTTGAGCAAATCTCATGCACTCTCACAGACGTCGAGACTGTCAAAAGTGAAATGGATTCTGTGTTATTCCGACTCACAAACAAGAAATGAAGAAAAATTGGGTTTCAAACAATTCCTCAATGAAATATTTCCAATTGAAAGTTGGTTTAGTTTATTTTGCTTCTACTTCGGGAAGTATGGAATCTTGCTCTTATGATGTCTGTCACGGAGAGCACAATTTAGTCGGGGTCGCAGGACGGTGAGCCGACAGTCTTTATTACGTGACAATCATCCTTCGCTTTCCATTGAGACCTCAGCACCAATTCCTTCCAACCGACTTTCCTTTCGAAATGAAACGTCATGCCAAAAAGCGGATACCAAGTTCCTTTGAAGGCATTCGAGGCTCATACAGAACTGTTTTAGTTTTATCAAAAGTCAATGGCAACATCTGAAAAACATTTTACTTTTGGCGAGATTAATATGTATACTTCCATTTCGTGTAAAAGTCTACTGATGAATCGGTAGATGCTTGTTGTTACGTCAGTCTTATGTCGGTTCTTTTGAAAACAGCTGAACTTGAAAGGAAGACCCAAAAAAGGCGTTGAATTTCATCGACATGTACTGACAAATAACAAGCTTCTATTAAACCCAATATAAATAATTATGTGTATTTCTGTGTGTGCATGAAGGCCTGTAGACATGTGTGCTAATGAGGGCATGAAAAGTTCCGCCACAAGTTTAAGGAATTAGAAGAAAATCTATCATCAGGCTCGGGTCATCAATGTTTAGTGCTTCAACAAGAGACACGAATTCAATTACGAATTCCCAAGCGAATGTCTGATTGAAGTGATGCATTGAAGAGGTGAAAAGAACAAAATTGGAGTATATTAGTCTCTCTCTCTCTCTCTTTATTCGGAATTATTTCTACCAATCAACTGTCAACTCTGTGTTCTACATTCCACTTATTCCTCAATCTGTTAATTACGATTGTATCCTTTATTTTATGCCCAGATTCGTTTGTGAAAATGGTAGTTCTTATAAAAATTGGTCATCCAAGTTCGCTTAAGTCGACTCGTGGAGTGAGGTTGAGGCTTTTCTCACGCTTGCCTGCGTAGATTTTTAGATGCCAGTACATTGGGCTCCGAGAAGACATGACCTGTACCGTCGCCGCATCAACCCCGTGGAATGGCAACGTGGCAAAAATGTGTTCGTCTTTAAAACCCTCAACGTTATTGGCTCTTTTTATTCAGTAATCTTTGCAAAGTTTTTTTATGGTCACCTTTCATTTGTCGAATAGGTCGGCTACATGCTGGGTGACATGTTTTATTAGTGATGGAAAAAAGCACATTCTTTTCACCGACATT